GTGTGTTTATTAACCTTTAACGCTTAACTGCCGTGGTTGATGTTTTACAGTGACGTTCTCTGTGCCACCAAACTGAAAAGGCACTGGAAAGAAATGAAAGGTAAGACCGTGAATCATTCACAGTTACTGTTGGTGCAGATTGGTAATGACAAAATATGACTAATGCCTTTCACCAGCTCTTGCCTCCAATTGTTCTTCATTTTATTATTTAACCTTTCCTTCCAAAAAAAAGTCTCACTCCACTATTTTTAACTTGTCATTATAACAGCCCCATTGTTAACAACTGTTAGCAAGGAAACTTTGTTTGTTGTTTTAAAAGGGTTCTCCATCTTGCAAATGGTGTGTTTTGTTATTAGAGAGGTTTTGGGCACACACAAAAAACCTCACAAAATCTTGACTGCGATACTTTGGGTGGCCTTTATGAAGAGCAGTGTTTGGCGAAATGGCGAGAAAAAAACACCTGCCCACCGTAACAACTCTTAAATCCTCCTCCCACTACCCCTCCCTCAATGTTACCTTTGTCAACCATTAGTACTGGTTTTTCCTGTTTTGTACTTTGTAACAGGGTATTGTATTCCAGGCAGCTGTGTTTTTCACGTGTATCTAAGCTTTCTTTGCTACATTGCCATCATTCAAATCTTATACTTTAAGAGTATTTGGCTGCTATACATCTCCACGTGATAAGCCACTTCGTTGAGCTACCATTTGTGGCCAGGTCGCTTCAGAAACAAAGCTATATAGCTCAGCGTGGGTCTTACTTTGTAAAATAAAACACATAGTTTAGTTTTAGTTTGTAAATGACAAACATTTTAGTTTTACCCGAATCGACCTAGGTGGGTTATGAAATTATCATCTAGGTGATAATCGCTTTAACTGCACAATTCCTGAAAACGCATATGCAACACACAATTTCCTGTCCGCCCTTTCGTCATCGCAAAACATATTTCCAACGTGGACCTCGACACAAATTATCTGCAGGGGAAAAAAAGCCACAGTACTTAAGAGATCCAGAAGCCAGGCCTGTCTGCTAAGCATGTAAACAGCCCACTATTACTGGAGAAGACATGTGCATGCCTGCAGGGTTTCCACTATCCTGGTGTGTGGACTGCTGTCAGCACGCGCTGTTTATTGAACGCTGGTATGCCTACCCTGCTTAGCAATGGGACCCCATTCGTGGCAGCTACACGTGAAATGAAACAGCCGCAATGAAGCTGATCAAACGCGCACACACACCACTGCAGACGCTTTCCGAGTGATGGGGTCCCATTCATAACTTGAATGCAGGACAGTGGCATCTGTTTGCAATTATATTCGTTTTGACAGCGCAAATAACGTCGTATATCAAAACTCAGGATTAGCCACATACTGTGCAGCATATGCAAGAGTCTGTACACTGCATTCAAATGTCATTTTTTTATATTTCTTTGTGGAATTTATGCCACGAGAAATTGTGGAAGCTCAGGCCAAAGTATGTATCACTGGAATATGTGGCACATGTTGTAAATTGAACTTATAATACAACCTTCAACACACGGATTTGACCTCGTTTAATTATCTGATGACCTTTGTAATTATTTAACAATAATGCATTTTATTCTTCTCTTTATTCCTGACAACTATCGAAAGGGGAACATGCCTTTTGCTGCGACATTGTATATGCCAATGGAGTATTAATACGTCTATTTCAACACGTGTCTTTTTACTTTATCCTTGTCAATGCAGGATAAATATCAGCTTTCCACACAGTCTCTTTTGCAATTGCCAACTGCTTGCCCACATTATGGTTATCACTTAATGCTCTTCTGGCCAGAAACAAACAAGGCATATCATGTTAATTAAGTGTGACAAAGTGTGTGGCAACACATTAACTAAACAATCTACCTCCATTATGCTGTTCTTTGCATGGATAATTTGCAACCGACTTCTTATTTCAATGCAGACGGATGCCTGGGTGTGGATAACACGTTGGATAAAATCTACAGAGCTGTTGTGACGTTAACTTTAGCAATTTATTCGACTTGCACAATGGTATCGTTTTTGTTGCAAGTATGCCGCCTTATCGTGGAATATAAGTATGCAGGAAGAACGGCTCGTACGACCCAATCCGAATGGTGAACCTCAAAACTTCTAGATTTGAAGCTTTCGTGACTGCAAGGATTCATATTCTTAGGTTTTTTCGGTAAAGTCACGTCGGTAAAAAAATTAAAATTAATACAAGTTAAATAAAAATACGTGACTTTACCGAAAAAAACTAAGAATATGAATCCTTGCAGTCACGAAAGCTTCAAATCTATAATTAATGCCCTCTACGGGGAGGAATTCCACCTATCTGTTAGAGTTTTTAACAGACAACGAGACAAGAAGTCACAGCTTCTCGAGACGCTGGCCTTCCTCAAGAGATGCCGAGATAACAAGGTAATACCCATCGCTTTATTCTTAAGAATGCTATATATACGGAGTGGTATCTCTTGTAATATCTCATTTACTTGATACAGCTGTCGGGCTGTGACGGTTCCACCTGAAGACGGAAGCTTGTGTTGCCTCCGAAACGTCGTGATTTTTATTTTATTTTTATTTTACTTTTATTAATTTAAATTTTTTTACCTACGTGACTTTACCGAAAAAACCTAAGAATATGGAACCTCAAAATGTAAATTTAGTTAAACTGCTTTAACCTGCCTTCCTTTAACTCACTCTTCTTTTTATCCACTCCTCCAATTCAGTCAGTGGAAAGTATAATTACCTGCGGACTGGTCCTTCCTATTATCAACACTTATCCACTGTGGACAAGAGGAATGACCCATTATCCACTTATGCACGTGTAATTCCATGGATAAAATTAGTCATTTGCGGAGGTAAATGCGGATAATAGGAACTGTCAATAGCACCCCTATGTGAGGGAAGATTAGATGGGATTCACTGTTCTGTATTGAATGAAGATACGGAACTAACAAAAACTTTTTTTTTTTTACCAGGTAAGGCCCACTGAGCTATGTAGCTTGTTTTCAGACGTGACCTGGCCACAAATGATAGCTCAATGAAGTGGCTTATCATGTGGAATTTTATAGCAGCCAAATATTCTAAACCCATGTTTCTTAAAAGTGGAGGGAAAAACTGGAGGACCCGAATACAAATCCATGCAACCACGAGGAGAACATGCAAACTCCAAATATACCGGCGTCAGAGTCGGGACTGACTGAACCCATGACCTCTTGCATACCAGGCGAGGTAGTTAACATCTCACCACCTTGCAGGCTCACACTGCCCATTTGTAATCGAGTCAAAGCAGGTGAATTATAGAACATTTTCCTCCAGCATCATCACCTGCATTGTACCTGCAGTAACCTGCAGTGAATGAAAGGCAATGTACTTTCATGGTGGGGAAAAAGCGTGGGTATCGCCCCCCCCCTCCCCCCATGTCATCTGACATGCATGAAAGAAGGCTACACCTCTCTCAAAAACTCCATCTGCAGTGACATGAGCCACACGTGGCAAGGCTGACATTTACAATTAACACGCATATATATGCTGTACTTCCAATAAATTATTGCACTTCATACGTTTTCATGTAATAATACAGAGTTCTGTACATTCTATACCATCTCTAAAGCAAATTTAAATTCCAACGAGTTCACGGTTGAAATTCTAGAGGTTTTTATGAGAGTTTAATTTTCAGCAGTGCCAACCTTGGCAGCAATAAATTAGAGTATATGGCCACATTTAGACTCGGAAGGTGGGTCTTTGTAAAAGTAATATAGAAGTGGGTTCATAATACGTTGAAAAAGTAATGCGGTCATACTCATATATATACTTATTTTATGATCACATTATTGTATTTTAATATTAAGATATAAAAGCTCACATTCCTCCATGCTCCAATGAAAGATGGGTGGTGTACATCTATATTTGTGGTCTGTGCCAGTGGTATTAATTCAACATTCCTATGGCGGGGATAAGTACAACCACAGAGCAACTGCTGTTGATCTTGCAAAGAGTTGCACAGCCACACTTGAGGGTGCTCATTTTAGCTGGAGCGATGATGATGATGGCAAGAATGAACCCTGCTTGGGATTTGCAACCTTACTGCTCAACCAATTGAGCTATAGCTACAGCTAAGTTCATATGTAGTTTGTATATAATATTGCTTTTTTCCCATTCAACAGGGTCCCGTTGCTTAGATCGAGTACTGTAGCCAATGAGTTGGTAAATCAGCAGCAGCGTTTTTATAACAAGCCTGGCTGCTGACAGAACCCAGAAGTTCTGAAACCGGCCCAGAATATTTCCCCGGCAGAATTAATTCTGCTGGGATAATATTGGTCTAGAAAGCCAAAGGGCTGATGGACTAAAACAATTATATTCATCATGGGACCTCCTTTGCCAGTACCAATTTTATGAGAATAGGTTTGCCCCTTTTTTTCTGGCAACAAAAAAGGTGTTAAGATGTTAATACACCAAACTGAAACCTTTTACAAAGAATAATGTCTGCATTAACCAAAATACTTGTGGTCAGAATGCAAACAAAAAACGTACTCTGATAATATATGCATTGTCTTTGAAACTGATTGGTCCACACCAGATATATTATCATATACATTATCAGAGTACGTTTTGTGTTTGCATTGTGATCACAATTATATTCGTGTGAAGGCACGCAATGGAGTTATGCTTATACAGCTACACTATATGCCAGTGGTTCTGAACCTGGGGTGCATGATGCCCTTTCTGGGGGTGCGAGACATACCGGATTTCTTTAGAAGGTAAATCATTGAAACACAAATTAAGCACGGCCATGTAAGTACAACTACTTTGTTTCATCAAACCTATGTATTTGTTAACATTATATATGTTTTACGATTGAGAATCAAAGGGGTGCATAGCTGCAGTAAAGGTTAAGGACCACTGGTATATGTATTTGCTGTATATAGCATGGCTACGTATGGTGTTAAAGAAGTTCAACATACATATATGCGTGTGTTCATTAATATTGTCGTATTACTTGCCTCTGTATTTGGAAGAAAGCTGTGGCTTGGTTCCATGACATCCATGTAGTTTTCGCTTCCGAACTAAAACGACGAACATACAAAATAAATGGAGGGAGGGGGGGGAGAGACACACACGCACACACGGACACAGTTAAACAAATGCCTCATTTTTAAATTGACATACAAAAAAAATGGCCACGTGGTTATAAATTCTCCATTCTCCAGAGGCAGATCACATCAAATTCTCTTCCTCTGGGGAAAGGTTTTTTTTTTGTCCAAACTGGGCCAGTGTGCTTACACTGCTCATTCTGGGGGCAAGCTGAGAATGTGTCATTACATTGTACTCTCACGTTGGAATGTGCAAAGTTTAAGTTTTGGGATGTGTTTTTATAATTTATTTTAACACGTTTTACCCCCCCGCCCTCCCTATCTTAATTTATGTAACTGGGCTGTCAAAATGATTGTTGTCGGTAAACGTTTAAAAGGCACATATTGCACAAATGAGAATCACTTGTTTAAAACTGGGCAGATGAATTGTAACATTAGGCGTACATATGGTAAAGCTTTACAACTGAAGACCGCTGTAATTTAGTCTGGTTAAAATATAGCTTTTGTTAGACTGGGGGAAAAAGAGAGAGAGAGAGACAGGTTGAATCACAATGTAATACTGTACTTGATGGCTTCCAAATGCTCCCATAAAAAGCACGTTGTCTAATTTGATGGATTGCCAAGTCATTATTGAAGCACTTGCTAAGAATGATTAAACACATTGTAAAGAAACAAAAAAAACTGTGGTTGCATTCCAATATCAATGTTTAAATAAAACGTCAAGGGGGAAATCTGATTTGTAGATAATACCGTACAGCAGTCATTTTACGGTTTACTTCCTTAATGAAAATTGCATGAATCCCTGGTTTATATATAAAATTGTACGTCCACGTAGGGCTGTCTTGCGCAACGCACGTGGCCCCGTTTATATCAAGAAGGGGCTTTAAAACGCATCCCCCGTGCGACGCATTTTCCAAGCAGTGGAGGTATTCCAAAAGTGGTTTACAACGATGACAATACGCTGCGACAGGACCAACAATAAGGGCGAGATGAACGCAGAGGGGTTAGCAGCCGCTCATGAGTCCTCGTTTCGTTGCTGCATTTCGGCAAAACCCCTACCGCTATTACAGAGCGTGACATGAAAATCAATGTTCCCACTTAACAACTCCGGGGTAATTGATTAACACCATCTGGCCATACAATTCACTCGGCACGCAACAGAGTGTCAAGTTGGATATGCATGTAGAGCAAAAGATGGACAGACCATGAAGGAGGGCCAGGGAGGGCCTGGGTGGAGATGGGGGTTGTGGTTCGTGTGGAAAGAGGCAAGGGAGTGGAGGGGAGGGGTTGTTATGAGAGAAAGGGACATTCATCAACAAATAGGTAGGGTATATTAAACAAAAGCACATGACGAGAGAATTTTGGAAGTGCCAAAAAAAATTACGGTGAAAAAGGAGGAATTAAACATGGAGGGATAATGAACAAGTCACTTACAATGAAGGGAGATTTATAACATAACTACGTTACGGTAGGATATGGAACGTAAACAGTGCAACAGATGGATAAAGATCATTAGGCAAACACGGGCGTAGGGGGGGGGGTAAAAAAATACAGTACGCACACACAAAATAAATAACTCATAAGCCAAGAAACTGAAGTAGACAAATATGTGCCAAGAGAGTAGAAATGTAAAGGAAATAACATAAAGCAAACTGAACACACAATGAAGGGTGGGCTGTCAACAGCAATTACCCACTGCAGCTGGCATGACAGTAATAATCGACAACAGTAACCCCGCTGCGTTCACTCTGAGCGTAATCAATCTTAATCCCCTCCCGCACAATATTTTCTCTGTTTCTCCGAATTATTTTTAACGAGTAGAAAGCGCTATGTTTCTGCGTGCCTAATTAATACCAGTTTTTTTTATTCTCTCTTGTATTTTTTTTAAAGTTTTTTTTTTGGGGTGGGGGGGGGCATTGGTTTGGGCCAGTGGCTGAGAAGGGAGCGATGGAGATCGAACAGTGGCTTTCACATAAATAAGCATTTTCCTCTAGACTCCCCTAACAAGGTCTGCCTCGTGCTACTTTGCTTGTGTAATCGTATTAAATGCAACGTATTAATTGGCGCAACGCTAGCGCCAATTCCACCGGCTTCTTGTTTTGCCCGTACGCGAAATGAACATGCATCAATCATTTTGATGCGTAGAGGATATGAAAATACACACAAAAGATTACCAGCCCATCCGACCTCAAAGACTGCAGGGAAGAGTGTGGTTAGTGAGCGCCTATTAAAGGCTGTCAACGCAAGAAGAAGTGGGTGGTTGTTGGCAACACGTCCAAGATCGCCACCTTTGTCAGCCTGCTGCCTATCCTTCGACACACTGCAACAACAGACACGGAACTCTTATTTAAGGCTTAGTTGAACTACGCGAGCCGCAGGATGGGTTGAGATGCCACTTTGCTCACCAATGTTGTGCATGGTGGCCCAGGATACGAGCCATAGCTCCACCAGCAATGGAGTGCGGTGTGCTTACCACCAAAGACAAAGATCCCCCGTATAGGCTTAACAGACTGTTGGGGCAAGTGCTGTTGGCGAGCACCTATGATGTTTTACACACCGCACCAGGTAGTAATTTTTGAGGCCGAGTCGACCTAGGGCAGGCCCAGGACCGGTTCTGACACTCGTCACTGGGGTGTTGGCCGTGCAGCGTGCTGACCGCTAACACTACCGCTACCCACACACAACAGACATTCATTCATTCATAGCCAGGGCACGGCCAAAACACTCTGAGAACAAGACACCAGGAAAAGCTCCGCCTCCTACCTAATGCCGAGCAAATTCTAAAGCCCCCAAACTTCACGTGCTATTAATAATTTACGATGATACATTAATACGGGTGGATATTGGAAACTAAACACCGGACTGTAAACGCTACCCTTTGTTAATGTTTCAAGCGCTATTATTAAAAAAGTTTCACCACCCCTAAAAGACACTGTAGTGATAACGCTAATAACGACAACACATAACAATTGAGAGCTATGTTGTCAATCCACTGCTGGATTGAAGGCCTCCCCCACGCCATGTCGTCACAGGGCTCGTTTGACCACACTTCACCGTGCTGGTCAGTGCGGGCAAGTGAAGAGGGGACCCATACCGGTTCCGTTATTACTCGCCAATGATGTAAAATAAGTATAACCCGTAAAAACAAAGTTTTCACTATAAATCCTTTATATGCGTGGCGGCTAGAGTTCTCTCGACCTCTGGCTTGAGATGGCTGCCACCTATGGGTCAGATGATTGTCTGCCAGTATTAAGCAATTGGTAATTAAATATTTAATTTGTTTTCCCTAAAAAGTGTAAAATTTGTGAAATTTTTTTCACGAACATTAATTGTCTCGCACAACGAGTCTGTGTGCAAAATGTCAGCTCGATTGGATCACGGGAAGTGGGTTAAAAAACGACCGAAAGATTTGCACGGTCGTAAGCAAGCAAGCACGCAAGCACGCAAGCAAGCAAGCGAACTTAATATAAAGGATTTAAAAATAGGAGGCCTTTATCGGGAATCAAACCCAGAATGCGAGGTTCAGTGAGCCACTGCACATGCAGCACACTCCTGTGGAAACGAGTGTAATACATCACTGCGCACATGTCATGTGGGTGATGGTGATGTGGGGGAGGCCTTCATCCAGCAATTGACAGAACATGGCTGATGATGACTATGCAGCGAAATTCCAAAAAATGCATTGAAGTTGCCACCGAAATCGATTTAACAGCTGAGCGAGAGCATCAACTTGACGTAACAAACACAAATCCCAAACACCCCCCCCCGCTCCCACAAATCATCTTTTATATTTCACCCCATATCCTAAATGACACCGTATGACATTTCCCCGTTCACCAACCAAAGGCTCATTTCAATAGTCAATGTGATCTGCTTTGCAATTACATCCTTGCAATGATCACCCCCCCCCCTTTTCCTGAAACTGCGTAGCTGTATTTGGCACGATCTCGGCATTTTCAATCAACTCGCAGAATTTGTTGTACGCGAGTCGGCCTAAACAAACAGCGGTGGCTTCTAATAACGGCCCGCATGTGGTGGAGCCACTGCTGCGACAGCATGTTAATGTTCTTTTATATGCAGGTTTTATATTTCGCCAAATGTCAGTGAGCTTAAATAGCCGAGCGTGGGGGGGGGGGGGACGAGCGTATTTCTGAACATGCGTAGCCTCGAGAAATGCGTGGTATTGTCAGTACCTGTTAATGAAGCTGCAGTGAAAATGGCATAAGCATGTAATTAAATAAATAAATATACGCACGCTAGCAAAAAAACACACACACGCACAAAGCCGGCTACAAAAGAATAAAACAATTTAAGCTGAACCAAAGCTAAAAGCTGGATTAAGCAGTGCACCGTTGAAATTAATAAACTGAATGCAGGACAGTCCACCAGTTTATGCCTTCTCATTTTCATACTGCCATATGCCCCCCTTCCCTACCACCTCCCCACCTTCGTTGCCTCCCCATACTTATTCAGCATTCCGTATGGTACACTCCAAGTCATGGCACAATGGCTGTGTTCAAGCCAAACGACATCATTGATCAAGCCTGCAGATGAAGAGTGCCGTAATGAATACGAACAATCTGTTCCCCTGGAACAACATGTCCTGTTATGTGTACTTATCAATGATTAATGGGCTGTAATTGGACTCCACCTGGCCAGAAACACTCCATTAGTCCAGCGCCATGATAAAGCTCCTGTCTCAAACTGCATCCAAGCCTATTTTAATTTAAATGAGGGAATGCATAAATTTGCCTTTTAAATGTTTTTTTTTCTCCAACAACTGCATTATTGTAAGGGGAATAACGAAACAGGCAGCCGAAGTCTATTGCAGCAAGTTACCAGTTTACACAAAAGACTCGGGAGTTTAACCGCATTACCTAACGCTTAAATATCATTAACAAAAAATAGTAATGTGAATATAATTTGCAGCTTTCATCTTTTTTTCACAGCTAAACGCTAAATAACTTTTTTTT